ATATGATGATATACTCTTTGAATGTATAATTAATGTTAAAAGAGTGACACTAACAGAAAAAGCATATCTATCCCTATAAAATGGACTATTTAAGACACAGCACGGCATTTTGGTGAAATGGCGATCACATTTGGGGAGAAAATAGTTTAAATTTTTCATGTATCACTATATATGTCCCAGCGCAACTGAAGAACCGCTGTGTACAGAGGCTGGTGCATGATAAATCTCTGTCGTACCTCAAAGTCCACCCGTTAACGTGGTGTGGTAGCTTAGAAGGTGCCAACTCAGGTATCATGCTCGTCATTGGATCTTCGTTCAAAACTGCGAGGTCCGTCGCCAATGTTGCTTTATAGTGCGATGGTAATAAACGCTTCCTCACTAGAACTACATAAAAACTATTTGCGATGGTCATAAACAAATGCTTAAATTGGTACTTCCAGTGGCGTAACGTACAGGAGCAGGATTCGGAGCAGGATTCTAGGGAGCCCAAAGGTTTTTCAATCCCTTGCAAGATCCGGCTTGGGTCAAAACCTGACTTTCCAGGCGGTTCTAATATTCTCCGTTATGCCACTGGGTATTTCACTCTTCAAACTCCAGCCAAATGGCGCCATTTAATGCACAATATCCTTTACCATAATTTTATTAATGAAAGACTCAAACTCACACTATGAAATTCGAAAGTCAGTGGCTTTGGTTTGCTATCTCAACCATGGAGACAGTGATCCTGACCATGCATTCACTATCAATTAAATTGGATTTACAGGAATTTTACAATTGTATTTTAATCATTCAGTTCACAGTTATTCACATAAACGAATTTAGAATTTGAACACAAGAATCTTCGCTTACTAGGCATCGATTGCAGAATTACGTAATTACACGATAGTAATCGGTCGCACCATTTCTGCACAAAAAATCGCCAACTGTTCAAACAATTTTTTTTGGAATTGATCAAAAACGCTTTTGGGAGAAGAGGCGATAGTACAGCTCTACATAAAAGATTCAAAAGCTATGTGATTACAATACATTGTGGTTCACACACTGATATTAATAACTCAGTATACAAACTTACAAACTGTAAAATCATGAATACCAAAATGTATGACTAGACAATACGATGAAAAAAATGACTTTAAAATGTTTATTTTAAATTTAAATCAATTCTAACAAATCCCACATTAATTATTTCAACCCATTTGTAAAATGCATTTTTCCCACTAATAATGGTTAGCACATTGTTCCCCCTTTTTTAAAAAAATGCATGCAAAGACTCTTGTTTTTGGCAATAAATTTAAATATAATGGTTTTAAGTTGACTGGATTACACATTAACATAAACATGAAATTGAATAAAAGAGTTAATATGACTTACATTTAGAAGGATGAAGAGAATAGATGCACATGTAGAAATAAGTAAGAAAAATACGTATTTCTTTGGGGGGAAAAAAACGGAAAAATTACTATCACACCATACAGCGAAGGGAGGGGAATAATTTTATATAAACTAATGAATTTATTCTTACGTGTGACATTAGCTTAAGAAAATGGAACAAGAAATCAGATTTTAAAAGCATTTAATTTTTTTTTTTTTTAATTCTCGTTCAATTTAATACTATTTATTTATTACCGTATTTACTCGAATCCAAGCTGAACTTTTTTCCCGATGTAAAAGCTACTAAAAATTGGGTGTGGTTTAGAATCGAAGGCGGAAAAATTCGTTGGTCGGGGGTAATTGAATAAAATACTTTGACGGTTAAAACAATTACATGGCCATGTTGCATTTAAAAGTACTGGTAAAATAAATTAACTATTCCATTTTTATTAATTCTCATTAAAATTTTCTTTTTAATTTCGTAAATATCGAATATAAATGAACTTTTATATACTTTTTTTTTGCACAAAAACAAGTTGAGAATTTGGGGTACGGCTTCGATCCGAATAAATACGGTATTATTTATTTCACAATTTTAAAAACTCCCAATGAAATTCTAATGAAAATTTGAAATCACAAAATCGAAACCTCAAATAACTAATTGAATCCTCCCCCTTCCCCTCCAAAAAAGAACCCGCTTTATTCATTACAACTACTCTATTAACACATCCAAAGAAGTAAATAAACAACTTACACAACATGTAAAACAGAAAAGGTTAAAATGCAGAATTTTCTTTCTTTCTTTTGTTCTAAATTGCAACCTCATGGAAGGTTAAGCCTAACATGTCATCAAAAACGACAGAATTCGAAATTATGCAACGAATAACAGTAGCTGCAGTTTTTCAAAAAGGGGCAAACACTCTCCGACACATGTCGAGCAAAGAAGAAAGAAAAGACCGGGGTCCCCATTGCTTTAAGAATGTCGAAATCACAGGTAATCTTCGATTAGATGCGATCAGTGAAGTGTGGCGATTGAAAAAAGCCCGCCATTGTTCCTTTGTCTTCTGTGGTGGCAGAAGCCGAGGTGGCGCGTACTGAAATGGCTTTCTAACATGAGTTAAAACAGTGTAAGTGTTGGTCTGAATTGATTATTTCACTCTTTTATTATTCCTTTTTTTTTGTTTTTGTTTCCTCCTCTGATGCCAGAGAACCAGTAACTGGTCCTTTACCTGGATCGGTTAAAATAAAACAAAAAGGAAGAAATTTCAGAACGCTTTCGGTATAAAAATCTGTTATCGAATGCATTATTTTAAAAAGAATGTCACAAAAAATTTTGAATGTAATTTGTAGAATGTGTTTATCGACAGTTCTAAAACATTTATTATAATATCAAAATTTAGATTTATTTTTTTTCCTCATTTTGAATCTGAAGTTAGAATATTATTTTGAAGAATAATATATTTTTAATATTTCAGTAAAATAATTTCATGTTGTTTCATCCATAGTTCAGCTGACATTGATACAAAGCCATTCATTGACTTTCTTTACACATATTTCATACCATTTTCAATCTAAAACTGTGAATTTCTGAAAATAATTTATAGAATGTTTATGAGAAGGTTATGTGTGTGTGATTTCTAAAACATTTATTATAATATAAAAATTTAGATCGGTTTCTTACCCCGCCATTTTGAATATATCGTTAGAATATTATTTTGAAGAATGATATTAAAAAAAAAATTCAGTGAAATAATTTCTAGCTGTTTGTTTCATCAATAGTTCAACTGATAGAGATACAAAATCTTACGTTGATTGTTTTTTTACACATGTTTTCTACCATTTGTTTTCTACCATTTTCAATCTAAAACTGTAGTCAATACAATATGGAAAGTAATTTTACCGAAATATAGTCAAATATTAAAGGAATGATAAACAGTTCTGAAATATCCGTGAACAAAATTTGGTTGAATTTACCACATCAACTTTCTGATCTGCTATGATTATTTTTATTCATAAAAATATTAAATATAAATAATAAAAAGTAAAAAAATAAATGAACTCTTTTTCTAAAAAAATATTTAATGCATTCTCCTGCTGCACAGATACACACAGTATTATTTGAAATATTTTTTTAAGCAAAATAGTTCTTAAAATATCAGTGGTTCATTTTGCCTTAAGATAGAATCAGACAAAAATCTGAAGATAATCTAAATTTAGAAATGCTTTAAAATGCATTCCCATATTAAGTAATCAAATAATTCATTGAAATTCTATAACTTAGCAGGATATTTAAGGATATAAAATTATATGTACCCAGAAAAACTTATATACATATGAAAGAGTATAACGTCATATAAAAAGAAAAATCAAGTTTTATTCCAGATCGTAAGGGTGAATATGAACAATGTATTAGTGCAATGCATGTACAATGTGTTACTCACGTTGTAAATGTATTGTTATATTTCACTATTCTGTAAACTAACCATAGTTGACGTAGTTATGCTTTAATTATTGAATCAGTTCCACAGAACGTCATTCGCAAAGGAGCTGGGCAACATTTTTTTCCCACAGAGTTGATTATCATTTTTTTAAAACCTAAGCGAAACGCAATGCACAAAATTCAAGAGCTTTTGAAAACTTTCACTGCAAATAAATTATTACGAGTGAATAAAGCCGTTTCACATAATCACGTTATCTGATTTTTTTAAAGAAAATTTTGAATTTAAAACTATTTACAAAAAATTTCATTAAAAAAATTATAAGATAGTTTATTGTCATCCTATTGTGTTAAAGAATTTATTTAATAAACACATGTTGACGATAAACCTCGATTAAAAATCAAATAATAATACTTAAGGCATCAAAGAAAATTCATCAGTACGAAATGTATTCAAAGTTAATAAAGAGTTCCAAGTTCTTTATTCAGAAAATTAGTGTCCCCTTGCATTAAACACTCATAATTTACTTGCTGTTAGTTGTAGTGCAAAAATAAAAGCAATTTTAGAAAGATAAAATATTACAGATTTTTACTAAAATTGATATATAAATTTCGATATTTTGATCAAAATTTCAGTTTTTAATGAATTAAGATTAATATGGAATCAACATTGATTAATATGGAGATTATTATATCGTTAAGATTAATATGGAAGCAAAATTGCATATATTAATCTCTAATTCATTATATTGCATTCGATATACAGCTAAACATAAATTGAAATTTAAATCACATTTTAGGCACTCTCCTTAGCGAAACGATATTAAATTTCAGCAAATTTCTTATATATTTTTATACAGCAAACTCAAAATGAAAAATTATTTGAAATCACATTTAAACTCAGAAAAAAATATTATTTCCTTTCCTAATATTGGTTCTCTATCTTTCTCTCTTTTTCAATTCCTACTATTAGTTCACGCTCTTCTTATATGTCTTGTTCAAATTTTCAATCGTTAATAAAATACTTTTTATTCATCCATTCAAGTTCAAATACACTTTTTTAAACTTGTAGTGGATGACACTTAAAGTTAATGCAGTTTTTTCAAATATTCATTCATTAATTAAATTAAAAGATGAATAAATAGTAACAAATAAAAATGATAGTCCAACAGCATATATAACAAGGAAAATTGTCCGTCGTGTCACTGTAGCGCGTTGGACTTCTAATCCAAAGGTCGTGGGTTCGAACCCACCTGGGATGGCCTAATTTCTAAGAATTAATTTCTTTTTTTTTCACTATTTTATTTTATTAGAATAATTAAATTTTAATTAATGAATAAACAATAGCAAACAAAAAAATAGTCCAACACCCTATATAGAAAAGAAAATGGAAAATCTCTTTCTATTTTGTCACTTAAAAGTGTGATTCTGTCATATGTATATACATATTTATGTTAATTATAACTATTTAATAAAAAATAACTAAAATCAAATTTTTCTTTGTAGACCAAAGTAGGAATTGACTTAATTTTTTTTATATATATATTACTTGTTTAGCCTTATTTCTCCAAACTATTTAACATCCTTCCTGAATATTAGCGCTTTATATCGCTATATTCATATTTTGAAGTTCTAAAAGAATATAGTGAATACCAGAAACAACGATTGCTCTGTACTTCCCTGTACATACCAATTCCGTATCTTAGCCAAAAGCGCTTTAGAAAAAACCTACGTAACAGTGTGATACAGTATGTAGAATAGAACTCAACTAAATGCGGCTACAAGTTAATATTCACAATTATTTTAACAAATCTGACTCTTCAACTATAACTCGGGGAATTATTCACAGTGGACAAGGGCTAAGCTCTTGGACATCGGATCTAAAATTCCCAACTGAATGAAAGGGTGGGGGGATTTTCATACATGAAGATGCATCACTAGTTGTCCTGGCTTTCCATGTCCTGATCCAAGAGTTAGGACATACAGGGGGAGGATATTTATGCCATTTAAATATGCATTACCTTACTGGCCAGTTGACGAGTCCCCGCTGTCCAAGTTTTGATTTCAAAGGGAACAATAGTTGTTGGAATTTAAGTGGACCTTTAAATTTTGATTCACTTGCCATTTGTCTTCAATTGTTGATTAGGTTTTAAAAGTATGGTCCAACAGATGGAATTGCGAATCGCAACTCAATGCCACACAGAGACAAGGCTTTGATCTTCCAGTTACAGTAATTACGTAGCTTTAAAGTTCATGCAATTGAATAAATCCCCCAAAAGTTGATTTACAGAATACTTAACCACTGCCACAGTCCGCAGTGTTCTAAAAGTCTATATTGGTGTGTACCAAATTAAACCCAAAACCATTTCAGCCTTTGTGTCGCGTTGATGTATCGTTTGTTGCTCTGATTGAGGATAGCCAAAAGTTTTCTACACTCTGTTTAATTTGTGCAAATGTGCACATAATAGAAGGGATACAGCACACAATAAATCCTCCTTGGATAAAGAGCAAAGAGGATGAATCTCATTACGAAATAGTGAGACAGTTTATCAACAATTAAGACTCTTTTGGTCAATCAGAGATAAACCGTGTTTATTTTGGGTTCGCGGTAGCAATAATGAAATAATATCTACAAATATTTAAGAAGATAAATATGCTACATTTTTACGACTGCCGTCTAAGAAAGAAAATGACACAAATCCAAAATTTTCACAATACGATTTGTAATTAACAGTTACGCTCGAAAATTAAAAACGAAATTTAAAAAAAATATTTAAATCCCGATTTTGATTGAATTATCATGAAAAAATTATCATTTCTGCAGCATTACACTTTTTTAACTGTTATTGTATCCTAAAACTGTTATAGAAATCTGTGATTTTGATATCTTGAAATACATAGAATTTTTTTAAAATCATTATGACATTTAAACACCTCAATTTGCGTTTTTTCATTTTAAAAAAAGAATAAGCTTAGAAAATTAGAAGAAAGAAAACTCCGTTTTTCAAGAAAGAGTTAGTTATTCATTTTGAATTTATTTAACAAATTTTTTATGTAATAGGTATTTTATTTACTTCTTTGAAAATGGAAATTATTTACAAAAAGCATTTCCTCATCTTTAAAAAAAAAAACACAAAATTATTACTTTTTAATCTGTTTTTTAATATTCAATTAAAGGAAACATGTAACAAATTTAACTGCTTTTATCAGGGAAAAATACTTCGAAAAGAATTCCTTATACCCAAAACTCAAGATTCAGTTGCAAGATTGAAATAAATTAATCTACGTTGTTTTTTTTTAAGAGATGTCACCCTGCAAGTTCATTGAATTGTTCCAAAGCAATTAATAAATACTCTTGATTGCTATGCAAGTATTCCCAATTTTATTTTAATATTTCTTGAAAGTTATATGAATTTGATTTAAGGTATCCGAGTACTTGCGACAACTTTTTTT